TATACAGGAGGTCTGCCGTAATCCCTGGCGGGGAACCGGAAGCTACGGTCGGACCGGAAACGTGCGTCATTTTCCACGTTCTGAGGACGAAGAATAGAGAACTTAAAAGTAGTAGCTGTTCAAAGAAAGGAGCAGTGGAGTGAGTGGAGTGGAGACCAAGTGGGGCGAAGTGCCGCAAAGCGCAAAGCCCCCTGCAGCCAGCCAGAAGGCAGGTCCTCGGCGCAGAGCAGGAAAACTGAAATGCACGAAGCACTTTTGGGCTAATTATGCACTCAGCTGCTTGCCTCTCTACGTAGTCAACTTACGCCGTATGGAGCACAGTCCTTCTTGACACGCTGATAGTCGTTTAGCTAGTAACAATAAATTATTTCCCCGTCTTTTATGAAACGAATATGTGCTTCAGTACCAACTTCAGAAGAACCCGCGCGGGGGCATTACCATGAGCCAGTACAACCCAATCCAGAATGTGACACCGCATTTCTTCAAAGTCATATTTAATATTATCCTTCCATTTACACTTAGGTCTCTCAAGTGGCCTCTTGAACTCAGGATTCACGACTGGAATATTTTTGCAAACATTTGTAATCTCTGCCATGCCCCGTAATATTTTTCTTTGTCACCCTAATATTTATTTGGTGTACAGAATAAATTCCCACCTGCTCTGTTTCAAACTTTAGTTGTAATGAAACGGTGCCCCTGCGTATGTTTCGTATGTGTCATGACTTGCAGTTCGATGCGAAGACGGAAGATTGGTCGGTGTACGCTGCGATGGAACACGACGGCAAAGAAACACAGCCTTCCAGAATCGATAACTCGCGATACTTTGTTCTCGATATCTACATATCAAAGAATTGGCGGACGCAGATGGAAGATTTACATTGAATTAGACTCAGGAATGTAATCGTAAGCTTTCTTTTTTGTCTATAAGGCGAAAGCCCGGGTGTTGCGCTGCATTTCGGTGTGTCCATAACTGTACAATAGTCTAACAGGGCAGACTGTACATTTGTGAAACTCATCAGTGCACGAAATTTGAAAATGTTATTGGATCAGCCGAAACGCATTTGCGAAATAGCTAGCCGCTGGACCTGGTAAGGCTCCTCTCGAAATGCAGCCAATGATGTAGCAAATTGAAGGAATGGTTTCAAATTATCATCGAAAATTGCTTAGCGCGAGAATCCGGGGCTTAGTGGAAAAAAAAGACAGCTGATAATGAACCTGTCGTGGCGTCATGAGACAACGGAGCCCTGGAGCTATAATGAACGCAGGCAAGACGCGCAGATGACAACGGGATGCCCGAACTCACAGAGGCTGGAGACACCAGAAATGAGCGAAAATTTTTATTCCGAAGCCTAAAAGGAAGTTGACCCCGAAGGCGGTAATGAACCTCCGGGTCTTATAAAACACTAACTAAGCGACTATCAGCTTCTCCACGAGGCCTGGTCTCCGTGGAAATAGTTTGGTAGACATTTTTACTCGCATTACGAACCGCTTTTGTTCGTATCTGGTACATCCCGCTGCTGCTGTGGGAGCATTAATCAAATTACGCAAAGTCACAAGATCACGTGACACCAAGAAAAAGATGACTCGGTGCTCTGATTCAATTTCAGCCTCCGAAATAATATCGCAGGAGAGGTCACACCCAGGGTTTGCGTCCTTGAACGGTGACTGACCGTGTCTGTATGCATTACTACACTTGTTCTCTTTCCTGGTTCGTCTGCGCTGTTGAATTTAACGGAATTTCATTGTTTGTTCCATGTTTCCTGTTAACTTATTTTGCGTTGTACACTGCATTATAATTTAATATTTGGTTCTTAGGTAGTAAGTAGGACTTCTAGCTTTCTACGTGGACTTCTATTACAACGTCATCATCGCGTGGGCCCTGAGGTACTTCTTCGCCTCGTTCACCAGTCTGCTGCCCTGGACGACGTGCGACAACTCCTGGAACACTCCGCTGTGCCGGCCGGTGAGTCTGGAACTACGTCGTAAAGGCTCGCAAGCAAGAGGGCCTACATCTGGCAACTCCCCTGAGCACAATAATTAGATAAAACCACAGTCGCACTGAAGAAGAAGTAGTTTGAACCGACCATCACTTCGGTTTCATGTTTAACCCGGATTCCTCCGGAACTTTCGGGCTTTAACTGGACGTAAAGTCTCGACGCAGTTCGCAAGCTTTCGGCTTGGAGTTGGATATTCTGATTATGTTAGTGATTGTACTCGGTCCTTCCACGCGAATGTTTGCACAGAATCTTCGGATTTGGCAACCAACGTCTCAACACGTCATTCCACTCTTTGAGAAGATGATAGTAGCTCAGTTGGGCAACAAGTTCCTCGTCTTTAAGGTGATCCAAAATTTCATTACAGCGAATTTCCCCATTATAGATCACTTAATTCAATCCACACACCATTGACTCACTATTAGATTCATATTAATATTATCCTTCCATCTGCACAAGTGCCTTTGAAGGACCCTGTTTCCTTCAGGTTTCCCGACCATAATTTTGCATGGATCTATCTTCTCCCATGCGTTCTACGTGCCCTTCCCATCTCGTCCACTTCCTCTCACCCTCACATCCGTTCTCAAAAGTCTTTCGGACATGAGGATGGCTCTTTTCTGGGTTTTAGCGCCGTGAGTCTGGTAAAACTTCACCGACGTTTCAGATATGCTTACTGTCTCTATCAGGGCGATGAGCTCGGAGGCAGGATGTCTGTATATTTCTGCCAGACTGCACGTCGCAACAGCCCAGAAGATATCCATCTTCATATTCGCCGCCGTAAGGACCTCAAAGCTCACCCTCGGGTATTGATTTTCGTCTGCGAATCGCACGTATTCCGCGCAGTCCGTGAGGCGCGTTTTTAAAGAAACCAACAGATAAATATGTCATTTCGCGTTGGCCGAAATGTTTCTTTCTCTCTGTCTGTAGTCGGAGGCAGGGACTAACACCCGATAACACACGTTTTGAGCTCGACGCCATCGAGCGGGATATTGGCGACGATAAAACTTTTCTCTATTTTTTTGTAAAATTTGCGCCCGGTTTCCAAAGTTCTCCGACGATTTGCTGGATACAGGTCCACAGACTGGCTACGTTTCAAGGCGGATGTCAGCGAGGAACTCCCGATTCTACATGAGACTGTGTTAATTTCTTCTGTTGCCACGGGGAGTGACCGGTGCCGGGCTATTGTGATCACGGTCATGAACAGTCAGGGTTCAAAAGAGCCAGGGCATTTCTTGTTCAGCTGAGCGACTATCAGCATTTCCAGAGAGAGACTTCCAGTTTGGAGGCTTGACCTACTGTCTTATCGCTCACTTGTAGTGATAGAGGAAAACCACGACGAGGCCCAGTGAGCGCTGGAGGTGATGTGCCGTTTACTGTTCCAGTTTGATGTGAACGCTTGGTCGGGCGAACTCCGACGGAACTGGAGTGACGATGTTGTGGGTCCCATCATCGGCAACCACACCAAGTTCACTTCCGCGGCGTCGGAGTACTTCAAGTAAGTGTCTTGGTGTGACTGAGGAAGGCGCTTATGCACTTTAGTTAGGTACACACGAATTAATAAATGTGACTGTGCCTGGTTCCGGCCACAATTCGCCCAAATAAATGCCGAAATGCGCCTTTCATCTGAAACGCTGTTCTCGTCCCAACGCAGTCGGGCGATCCTGGAGCTGCACCGGAGCTCCGGTCTGCACGACCTTGGGGCGATAAAGTGGGACATGGCGCTGTGCCTCCTGGCGGTCTACTTCATCTGCTACTTTAGCCTCTGGAAGGGAATCTCCACGTCGGGAAAGGTCAGTGCCGTGCCTGTGATCTCCACGCCGACAGCACAGCAGGAACGCAGGACTGACAGCCATTTTTGTGTCGCAGGTGGTGTGGTTCACGGCGCTGTTCCCGTACGCCGTGCTGCTCATCTTGCTCGTACGCGGTGTGACGCTACCCGGATCTGCCGACGGGATCAAGTATTACCTCAGCCCAAATTTCTCGGTCATCTCCAAAGCTGAGGTAGGACTTAATCAGTCTTTTCCAGTGCTGTACGTTCATTCACGTCTAGATAAAAGCGTCGTTTCTCTAAAATAACGATTTATTTGTGTCGTGATTAAACATTTCGACAATTTTCCTCCAGTGACGCGGATAATAAGTCACAAACGCATTTTAAAAGTCGTGGACACGAATTACAGCGTTCCGCTTGAGACAACTTCACTGACGCTCTTATTCATGCTACAGGGTGCCCGTGGAGGCGCGGCTTCGCGGAGACATCGTTTCACAACATCGTAACATTAAAATAAAAATAAATAAATACCAGGGCAGTATTTGGCATTTCGTTACGCTATGATCTCCATCCTATATCGTAACTTCGAGTTGTACTTCTCAGAATCCCCCCAAAATATTCGGTTTTATTACTTCTTACTGCTGGTAGTGTCAGCGTTTGTATTATTTTCATGAACAGCCTGTGAGCTGCAAGACAATGCTCAAACCCCCGCCCTTCACCACTTCACTCCTTCAGTCTCAGAGCCTTTTTAATATTCATTTCGTCCAAGTGAACTCGGTGCAGTTGCCGGCAGCCAATCCGAGTCCTGTCACGTGACGACCGTAATTCCGCACTTCGCTCTCGGAAATGGAAACTCCGTGTTTTCTTACGGACTTGGTCGACCACGAAGCAATGAATCCTGAAATAATTCGCACGCGGAGTTTCTGCACGTAGTAACACAGATCAGTGCGTCTGTGCCTTTTAAAGAAGTCGAAATGTGCGTCCGACTGAGAAGGGGTTTGAGAGGGAGGCGCGCAAAGCCCAGAAGGGCGGATGGAATGAGTTACGAGCCGCAGTTCAGAATACGCGCCTCTTACCTTCGGCACGTTAAGGGAACTGAGGGTGTCCGATAACGGGGGTTACGGAGGATAATCGTTCGTAAGAGGGAGGGAAATCCATAATTCGTAATTTTCGCCAAACATTATCTGGGTCGTGAAATCATGGAGGATGAGATGGGCGGAAACTGTAGCACGCATGGGAGTGATGCGTGCAAAATTTTGGTTGGGAATCCTGAAGGGAAGCGACATCTTTGAAGACCTAGGCGTAGATGGGAGGATGATATTAAAACGGATCTTGGCGAAATAGGATTGGAAGATGTGGATTGAATTCATCTGGCTCAGAACAGCGCCCCTCTGCTTGTCGCTCCGCCCCGTGCGACGGGAATTTTCACGTGTACTTACACTGCAGACTGAAAAGCATCGGATTCCTTTTCCAGGTGTGGGTGGACGCAGCCACGCAGGTGTTTTTCTCCCTCGGCCCTGGTTTCGGCGTCCTCCTGGCTTATGCGTCGTACAACAAGTACCACAACAACGTGTACAAGTAAGTGCTCTAGAAAAATACTAAGCTCTTACGCAGGCCAGCGCCATCAAATTGACTACATTTCCAGCGTCGGTGGACGTGTGAGGGCGGGCAGCAGTTGAGCCGGCGACGTTAAAGTTGCGGGTCGTGACAGCCTTGCGCCTGTTTTCAGGGACGCTTTGCTGACCAGCGCCATCAATTCCTTCACCAGCTTCATCGCAGGCTTCGTCATCTTCTCCGTGCTGGGCTACATGGCCCACACCTCGGGCCGGCCCATTCAGGAGGTCGCCACCGAAGGCCCTGGACTCGTGTTCATCGTGTACCCCGCAGCCATCGCCACCATGCCTGGCTCCATCTTCTGGGCGCTCATCTTCTTCATGATGTTGCTCACGCTGGGTCTCGACAGCTCGGTACGCAGCCAGTCCACTGAATAGCATTTAAGGATTCAGTCCGTACCGCGAAGAAAACACGGCACTTCACCATTACGTAGATCAATTGGTTAACGCTGTTTAAGGAAATAATCGCTGTTTATTCTGAGAATCAAAAGGAACCCATAGATACACTCTGTGGGCACAATACAGAGTTACTGTTGTGGGCTTCGTCACCAAATATAATAATAATGATATTCGTGTTGACAGAAATGTAACCTCAGACTTACATCAAAGGAAAAAGAGTGAAGTGTCTTATCACAAATGTTCAATCCACTTCGGAGAGGTGAGTGAAGCGATTAAAATATTTCGATGTTATCTTTAATTTAAAAATAGAAATACGAAGTTTTAGTGTAAAAAAAATCAGAAGGATCTGGGAAACTTAGACGTAGATGAGAGGATAATATTAAAGTGCATTAAGGGATAAGGTGTGAGTGAAGTGACTCAGAATATGGTCTTGTAATGAGCCTTCGGTTCCATTAAAGGCGACGTACCCTTTTCGTGATTTGTCTCGCAGTTCGGCGGGTCGGAAGCCATCATCACGGCGCTGAGCGACGAGTATCCGGTGATCGGCAGGAACCGCGAGGTGTTCGTGGCCTGTCTGTTCACGCTGTACTTCGTGGTGGGACTGGCCTCGTGCTCACAGGTAGGTATGTCTTCTGCCTGCTCCAAAGCGCCGTTCGCCCTCCGAGTCGACAGCGCCGCTGCCACTGACTGCCCTCCTGTTCTCTGCGCAGGGTGGCTTCTACTTCTTTCATCTGCTGGACCGATACGCCGCCGGCTACTCCATGTTGTTCGCCGTGCTCTTCGAGACCATCGCCGTATCGTGGATATACGGTACGCAGCTCCCCCCGGCCTTCGGGACCGACGCCACGGAGCAGATTCGTTCTTGAGCAGCTGATAGCCAAGAAGTTGCCGGGTCCATAAGAGCCAACCACTTCATCCTATCCTCAGCTTAATCCTGTCCACGCCCTCACAGTTACCTCCTTAACGCCAGTTTTAATAGTTATCGGATATAGGCCCACGTCTCCAACTGCTCTCTTAAGTTTTCCTACCCAAATTGAACTTGTAAACTCCCATCTGTGAAACTGAACATTAGAGCATCTGCAAATGAACGGTCTGATTAATGTTACGTAATGATAGTTCGTCCAAACTAGGCTGCGCTTAGTAACAACGTAGCATTTGAGCCTTAAGAGTGCTGTACTTACATCAACATTGACTGGCTCAGTGAGACTCGACGTCTGGTTTTCAGAACTAGTCACTAAACCCAACTGTGCTTGGAGATTTCAATGCCAGAATAAATGACAAACTTTGCTTTGAGCCCGCCCGTTATTAAAAATGCTAGTTATTTCAGTAATTTCTTAATTAAGTTAAACTTGTAATATTCAAGTACATTTCAAGCCTACAGGCTGTTCGCTTTATGTTTAATACACTCTGATTACTGTTGTATGTTCCTTGGCGATTCATAGATTATTCCTGCTCATTTCCGTCAAGCTAAAAAGTTCAGATTGAGGCAAAGACTGGGTCGCCTGTATTGATGCAATTAGGCTTCACGCCCGACAGCAGTGTCGGAGAAGTTGCCGCGGAGCCGCGGCGAACTGTGGTTTGCGAGGAAACTCGTTTAGCGCAGTTACTGTCGCCCGACGTCCGTCTTCTGTCTGTCTGTAGTCGTTTCGTGCTCCGTACAGAAAATTGCGCTTAGACAACGCGTTCGACTGTGCACGCATTTTAAGCTGACTTACTGTTGAAGTAGAGGCGACTAAGCAGTCTGCAAGTTGCCTCGGGTGAGAATACGTGGCGAGAAAGGGCCGAAACTGAATACAAGCGAACAAAACTCGCATGCATCAGAGTCCCTTCGGACCTCATGCAATCTCATTTCCTGCAGGTACCCAGCGGTTCTGTGACGACATTCGGGACATGATCGGCTTCTCCCCCGGACTCTACTGGCGAGTGTGTTGGCGCTTCCTGGCCCCTGCGTTCCTAATGGCAAGTAATTTGCTTGGCTTCAAATGTGTTGCTTTGTAGCGTTTTAAACACGCACAGAGAGAGAGAGATTCTGGTAGGAGCAGCTTTGAGGCTGAGGTGATTCATGGAGACGTCCACAAAAGTACATCACATATTTATTATTGTCATTGCATTGTGGAGACTGTTGGCAAATAAGAGAATTTTCTGCTTTTGTCGTTCCAGCGCGGTAAGAAATAGTTTTTGAGCAAGATGCTCCAATGCTGCGCGAGTCATGTGCAGATTTTCAGAATTTTTCTTTCAGAAAATGTAATGTCTTCTTTGGAGACACTTCGGCGGTACGAGAGAGTTTCTGTTTAATGCAAATATTTATTAGTGTTTACCTGCCATAGGCTCTTTGCCGTTGACAAAAACCCTATTGGAGGAAGTAAGTTTAATTATTCATAAGACGACTATACACGTCCTTCATCGGTGTCTTACTCCACTCTGAAAAGACCGTATTGTTCGTGTGATACGACCTTGTGCTGTCGTGTCACGTGATAGTTGCTGTTGTGGCTTTCAGTTCATCATAGTGTATGGGCTGGTGGGCTACGAGCCGCTGACTTACGAGGAATACGTGTATCCGGTGTGGGCCAACGTGCTGGGCTGGATCATTGCAGGTTCCAGTATCGTCATGATTCCAGGGACGGCCGTGTATAAACTGCTAACAACACCTGGCACATTCATGCAGGTGAGTTGAACACGTGTTTACCATTGGCTGATGATTTATCAGCTGTTTTCCTGTGATGAAAGTGGACACGCACTTAAAATTTTTGTTTTATTCACCTAAGAGATTGTAAGTGCCCTGGTTTCTGCACAATAAACCTCCAAGCGTAGCAAATTGCAGTCTGTGTTCAGTTTACACTGTCGCTGATGTGTACTCTCAACAGCGACTAAGGTTTCTGACGACACCTTGGAGGGACCAACAGACCGCTGCCATGAACGGCGTGCGGACCGACCCAATCCAGGTGAAGCTGACCACTGCTCCAGCTGCTGCTGATAATGTCTGAACTGGGATTTCACACAAGGTGAGCCACATGAAGAACCAAGCGCCACAGATAGTTCTCAACAGCTGGAGAAGGGACGGCGTTAACGCCGGGAGAATCTTGTTTCTCATTACTGTTGTACTTGCTGTTTTAACAAATAACCACAGGATCTTCCTTTGACAGTGGATAATTAATCATCTCATCAAGAATGGGGCATTTCTGAAACCAGTTCAGTTATTCAGATCCTAACTACCAACTGCAGTTAAGAGATAGCAATTTTACGTGGGATATCTATGAAATATTTTGATAATTTTTCTCGTTTTCAGCTACCTCCCGTAAATGGACCGGGATATTTCTTCTCTTCCAAAATGAACAACATTGCTCCAACATGTGAAAGAAAAGGAGATTTTATTTGTTGAATATAGAATAAGTTTGTAGTCGAGTAACACGTAATCATGTTATAGAGTAAAGGGTAAACAAATGTATAAGAAAGAATTGATGCGTGAAAGAATGTTTTGTTGTTCCATATAATCTATCGTTTCAATAATAAATTTGGGATGCAAGGTTGACTGGATGGACAATTTTCTGAAAGAAATCAAAAGTTGAAACAAGGCGGGGCTGGGAAATTATCATGAAAATCTGAACAGACTTTTCACTGCAGATATTAATCTCCAAACCATCTGGAATTGTTAACTCGGTGAGAGTTTGAGAAGCATTACTCACTACAAGAGTAGACACCCCAGTTCTTGTTCACGTAGTAATGTTGCATAAACTGTTAGCTCGTGCTGCGATATTGTGACCGTACTTAGAACCGCTAGAACCTAAGTAACATATTAATATTCTCAATGTAGAGGCATGTGGTTTGTAGTACAAGTAGTGATAGGCCTAGCAAAGCTGATTGGTAGCTTTTTCTGAAGCGTCGCACTTAGACGTATGCATCGTTCGACAGATGACTTTCTTAATAAAGAATGGCACATGTAGAACTGTAATGCTACTATGATATTCAATTAACATAGATAATTACATATTAAACTCTAAGTTTCTGAATATGTGATTGATAATGGACTTTCCCGTGTTTTAAGTATCGTGAGTTGTAATTTCTTTAGAACGGTCTGAATTGAAGCTTGTACCTCACTTTCACTTGGGTCAGAGATGAACCATAGATAATTTTATGACCTCCATTACACATCAAACGTGACAGTCATTTGCAAATATCTTATTCATGATAGAGAAATTCATGTCATTTATGTTTGTAGTGTGATTCAGCTTTGTATAAAACATAACCGGGCAGCTGTTTCAAATTATCGCAGAGATGGCCCTTGAATGTTGAAATCCAGTTATTACAAATACTAAAACAGAAACTCTCAACAGAACCGGGGTACACTAATGATTCTGCTATGTATGCCCCCTTTTAATGACTGATACTAACTAGGCTGCACCGTCTGGTAAATATACGCTACTCCTTCTGATAAAGTACGACGTCGTCCATCTGAAAATAATGCCGTCTGAATCGATCGATACGGTGTTTGCTGTTTCATAAGCATGTAATTAGTACTGCATTAAATTACGTGTACGAACAAAGCACAAACCTTCAAAACTGCAGAAATGCAGATAACGTATCGTTCAGAAAGTATGAAACCTTAAAAATATTCACAACACCACTAGAGACATTACAACTTAACAGAACATGTAATTTGTACTTATGGTACATTATTTTAAAGTATAGAGAAATTTTTTCATTGTGAATTCTGGTTTTTAAAATATTCACGATACTCCACGTAAGACAGGACAACCTTGCATCATACTTAAAGCTCATAAAAGCATATTACATCAGAGAATTACCATCTGATAATAAAGTTTTATAATGACTCATTCAGTGTCTCTGAAACATTCCACGAATACTTTACATGTAAAACACAAATGCGCATGCTCATAGCTCTCAGTAACAAGGGAGTAATTCCACTTTGAAATTAAGTTGTTATCCTTTGGTTTCCTGAACAGATTTATAAAAATGGATCAATTGACCATGTAATAGTTTTCATGTGTACTTATGCTTCTATAGAGTCTAGTACTATTTCAGTGGAGGATATATTAAAATGTTCAGTGTGCTTCCAATTGTAAACTAATAATTATTATAAATTTGGAAACCATAAAAGTGAATAATTATTATACATCAGTGTGATAATATAATTATGAATTATTACAAATTTATATATTTTATTGTGCAATATTCTCTTGTTGTATAACATTTGTGTGTGTACTCTTTTGAATTGTGAACGATACTGTCGCTGTAGAGTTGAGATTAGGTTAGGTTTTCCTAAGACACACATGCACGCACACATATATTACTTGGATAAACCAGTATCTGTTATTTTATATTGCAGAATTTACACAAAATTCGAAATGAGCCATTAACAGCCATTGGCGATTTTCGAACGCACTCTCTGTCCAGAAGCATAAAGTTTGGCAAGAAACTAATGCTCATTATGTAAATACCAGATCTCGCGTGCTGTTATACATGTTGTCTTCACGACGCCGTAATATTACTGTGACACATAGTGCAATACACATGTAGGCAGTCTTCAATGGTCTTCGTACCACACGTTTTACGCGGTGCGGACCAAGACTTTGCTGTGGCTTTTGTACATGTGCAATGTTTATAGTAGCCATTGAATGTATTTGGTGATTCTTAGACAAATATCATAAGTACTTATATTTGCACTAGTTGAGGCCACTGCATGTATTCAGTAAGGAAGTGGAAGAGTATTATGAAAACAAAAGACAGGGAATGTAACCATTTTCGGGTATAATTGTCTATATACATACCTATATTTGTTAAACACTGTATTTAAATATGTATGAACACAATGTATTTTTGTTATGGTATACGCATAATACTTCTTTAGAGCATTTTACTTACTGCGTAAAATAAGTTGTAAGTGACGAGACTGTGAGTGGAATAATCGAAGCTCACTCGAGTCTCCCGTGAGCAGAGAAATTCCTCGCTGGGCTGTAGGGAGCAATAAGTTGTACAAAGGGCATATCAGTTTGTATGGTCTCTGCAAATTTTTGTTTGTGTCTTCATGAAAAATATTTTATATTTATAAATGAGCATTGTAAAATTGCATTTTTAACTGTCTGTGAGCCATCTGTGAATGGGGGAGAAGGGTTAATAAAATCATCTTAATATTAATAAGAAAGATGTATGTCTCATGTAACATGACATATTCATGATTTCTGGCGATTACGTACACAAAAGAAATTGTGAGAGTATTCGTAGGCATTTGTTATAAATTTCAAGTATCCCAAGCATGCAAATAAATTATAATTAAAGCAGGCTTAACATGGTAAATATATACCATACTTTCTGCATTAACTAACCATTGTACTACATAGCCACTGTATTGGTATTAAGCAGTTATTTTAGTTTATAAATCAGTTTAGACGTACGTTGGTCCTTAATTTTAACCAGATGTTAACATACAGACAACCTGCAAATATAATGATGCAAATAATATAACTGAATGTAATAAAATAAAAATAATAGCTACATTTTGTTTTATTGCATAATACTAAACCATATAAGATATGTATATATCATGACAGCGAAAATTTTCATCAGTATTCTTGGGTTGTGATGCCATGTAGTCTTGTTCATGTCATGACAAACATAACCTCAATTCAGACAACTAAACCATTTCTAGTGATTAAAGGTCAAGTTGCCCCTTCGGCTAACCAACACACCAGGAGGACATGAGTTGAAGCTCTGCACTACATGCAGTTGAATGGTCAGCTTTAACCTTTGGTTGCTTTATACCACTGAGGAAGATTCTTACAGACAGTTTGTAAGTATTGTGTACTCCACATCCTTTAAGTATGTCTTTGTACAGAGCAGTAGTTCTGCTTATAAATTAGTTTAATGTCTCTTAGCATTAGATGATGTAAGAAAACATTATTCTTCTTTATTTTATTGCATTTAGTGTTCTGCACAACTTTCTGAATCAGAACTATGCACTTATCATAACTCAAACACTGATGAATAATGAAGGTGACTCCATTAAGGATTCATAATCATGTGTCCAACATTTATAGGAATTATTTGCCTACCCACCAGCAAATAAATTCTGGAGCAGTAACTTTTTCAAATGAGAAAAGAAGTTGATAAAAAATTAACCCACTTCTATTAAAGCTTCTGACTAGGAAATTTGTGGCAAAGTGGAGCCTATGATAATGCAAGATTTATATTAAGGTATAGAGACATACAGTATGTACAGTTCGTAACATTCTTTATGTAAAGAAAACTGATGTCTCGAGTCAGTCCTCGTTTGGTACCCAGACTGCTAACTGCAGCAGAAAGTTGTGACAAATTATTGAAGTTGTTTAAACAGAATGTGATAATTTAGATGGTGATCATCTCAGTTATGATGCTATGTGGTCTAGTAGGTGGTTACCAAAATTTTAGAGAAACTTGCCACTTCTTTCTTGAAAACTGGCAGCTTAATTAACAATCCTTAACATGTTAATTCCTCTGTGGAGCATTTAAACAAAAACACCCACCTTAAATTTTTCTCCGGCACTCCCAACGAAATTCCCATATAATTGTAGGGGGTTTCATAACTGAAAATATTCAACTCACTTGATAGTTAATTTCGCAAAGAATTCATATTTTAAATGTGACGCCTTACGTCATTGATTCGCAGCAATATCGATTTGTACATAGGCGATAGTCGATCGCAAGGAAGAGGAACTAACGGAAACATGGATCCTGTAAAAGACGAGTTGAGTGAAGTTGAGAAGGATATTTTTGAGAAAATTGCTAATAATGATGTAAATGGGCTGAAAAATGCCCTTCTACAACAGAAGATGAAGGTAGATATCTACGATGAAAACGGCATGACACCATTGCAGCATGCAGCCTACAAGGGGAATAAGGAAATTGTACAGATGCTGTTAGATCAAGTAAGTGTCATACGCTGTTCATTTTGCATGTATTTGTAGGTTAGAGTTCAGATGGATTGAGTATTATAATTACTCGGTGTAGAAAGTATTAAATTACTTGGACGTGTATTAAAATCACGAACAACAATTTAAGAAGGGGCAATTTATAATTTAATTTAAAAAGGATTTTGCTGTAGAGTTTTTATTTTACGTTAAACATGTAAATTTACGTTAAATTACGCTCATCATTGTATGTTTTGGATACTCTTATTTTCTGAATTTAGTGGCACAAATACCATCGTTGTTAGAGACTTGAGATATAAACTATTTTTATTGAAGTATTTTTCGTAGTAGTGTTGTTACTCGTTTTGGGCAAAAAGTCAAATGATCCTCATTTTCATCTGATGAAAATAGTGAAGCAGCTATTCCATTGAATTTGCCTGACTTCTCAGCAATTGCCGACAGCTATTTCTACATACAGTAACACTATCTGCTAGATGCATGTGATAAATATCTACCTCTGAATTAGTAAATTTATGTACACACTTTTTGAAATATTGCATGCACATATTTTAATGTAGACAACACACATTTTATGTTTCACTGTATTAACTACCCATGTTATTTTTCTTTCTGCTTTAACATTTCAGAAGTTTGGAGTTACCTGAGCAACTGTAATCACTAATACATCTGATTTCTTTCAGGTCTCTTACTCCAGGTGTGTCAGAGTGGATTCGTGGTATCACTCCCTGAATTTTAAAGTACAGAATGCAATTGTCCTTGAAAATAAAATTTATGGGACAGTCATTTGGATTGATGTGTTTGCCTGTTTCAGGGTGCAGATGTTAATTCAGGAAATCATGAATTTGGATACACAGCATTACATCTTTGTGTACTTTCCGGAAATGCCGAGTTGTGTCATCTTTTACTTATGGCTGGTGCTAAAAGTCAGACAACCAATTCGGTTGGACGCACTGCTTCTCAGATGGCAGCTTTTGTTGGTGAGGGTTACAAATAGTGTTGTATTATAATCTGATACTTTAAAATATGTTAACTTACCACTTTTATTCTTGAATGTAATAGCATGAAACTTTCACTCACTTTTGTAAGCTCTTGAGAAAATGATTTCTTCAACTGAAATGTGTTCATATGTGTAAACCACATTTAGGCCTTTTGAATGCTTTTATTTTCACAGTCTTTATATCAGTATTTATCATAATTACTTCCTTTTTAAGGCGTAACGTAAACAATCGTTAAGTCGATTGATTGTTGGTGCATTGTGTTCTGTGGTTTTGGATGGAGAGGATTGCCTCTAAACTCAGAGGGTAGCTACAAATATGATGAATAAGGCATCCCAGACAATCATCA